TTTTTTACCTGCCATGATTTTATACGACATAAGATTATTGCATTTTTTTAAAATACCACCTTCCCCAATTCTCTTAGTATTCGAGATGCCAGCAAGGCCTTGTTAAAAGGGCTATTTATTTCCAAGATTCGTATTGTTAAATCTTCCATGGTGAGGGCAGAACAGCAGGTACACCACAATTGAGGACAATAATGTGCAATTGTATGCTTTGCAAATACCTCTATTTATCTCCTGAGTAAGCAGTAACTTTTATCGGTGAAATGCATAGAACTTATTTTCCCATGTCACCGCTTGATGTGCATGAACTAATTCTGGATTCTGGAGGGAGGGAGGGAAGGTTTCAGCTGGACATACACTTTAAAAATTCAATATTTTTGTTTTATATGGTGAAATAAGATTTCATTTCAGTAAAACAATGTATATGATGGCACCAGTTTTACATTCCTTTACTCATTACAGCAAACTTAAAGTGTTATACATACGTATTCCAGTCCTATCAGCACACAACAGACACATCCAGGTGACTTGCATGTCAGCACGTGGAAGCACCATGTGTGCCAGGAATGTCCAGGAGTTCTGAAATACAATTACTTCTTTGGTTGATTGAGATTGGGACCTTATCCATCCATTCACATTTGCTAAGCCTCACTATTGGCCAGTAAAGCTGTTCATCATATTAATGGATCAATAGTTATGCTTAAGAAAAGAAAGTAGGAGAAGCCAGGCTCCTGACTCTTTTGATCCAGGAAGTAAGTGCATTTTGAGTACCCAGGTTGTTTATACTGAGGTACATGCTTGATGTGTAGATGCCTGGAGGTGCCTTTTGTGTTCTGACAACATTGATATAGGTATGTATAGCACATTTCAAGTGTGCCTTAAATGTAATTAATTTGAAGTCCAAAGTCGCACTCCGCAGGTATCAGCAAGCAAGTATAAAAAAATATATATTTTACTGTCGGAGTCCTTCAAACTGCAAAGGCATCTCCGATCCAAGCATTTATATACAATTGGATACAGTCACATTCATGAAAAAAAGCTGTTTTGTTTTCTTCTCTTGACGTGAAATAGGCTCAGCTTGAGGGTAGATGTAAAACACTGCTGCATTTGGGGTTTGCATCTTTTTTCCTATGGATTTGGTAAACCTAACTTTAACCCTTTTCCATTTCAGATGCATTTCAACAATTGACTTTTTGATAAACTACAAAGAGATTGAAGTTTCATTGGCTACTCATTACAGCATAAATTGCATCCATCTATAAACCTGAATTGAATGTGATTAAATTGTAAAGTAATGCCAGATGCAATTACATTTTTAATTGGATCATATTTATGGCTTCCATTGAACTCCGAAAAAAAGCACAGCTTTTTGTACATACCGTTGTCTGTAAATATGTACCAGTAAATTAAATTCTTCATGATTATAGGGCAGGATTACAGAGCCATATGTTGTATAACAACCTTTTTTCCTTTCCATAAGCTATAAAAAGTATCTTATATGAGAGCACAATTGAATTTAATTTTGAGTTTGTTTTATTAGTGAATGATGAAAATAATGAACTAGGTCTATGCAAGGAGTTGTGCATAGCTCCTACACGCATAGGAAGACTTGTGTTGGATTTAATTTGGTCATTCTTGAGAATCTTACCTAATATGAAATATTCCATAGTAGGCTAATCATCTGGGAATTTGTTTTGTTTTTATATTGAAAAGATTACACTTAAGGTTGTCCCCTAACTAGCTGAACCCAGGGGTCGACCAATCTGATGATCTGGAAATTCTAACCTTTATGTTTCAGGTTAAAATTGCCTAGAGTGCTGTGCTGAGAATGAATGACATGTTTAATTGATAATAGTATCATGTTGATCCAAGCAGCTCTTGATTAGCCTGTTCTGTTCATGCACTTTGCCAACTAGTTATCTGCCATCAGTGACTACAAAAATGTACATCAATTATCATGGAATAATTTCTGTTTTACATTGTAATGCAAGGCATGTGTGCAAATTCCTCCATCGATTTTTGTATCTGTTCAATTACAGTGTTAAGAATCCAACTTTTCACACACTTTTTTATGCTCAATGCAAGTAAATGTAAATTGAGGGTCAGCATACAGTCCACTGATGTGCTCTCAACAAAACAATGAAGACCATACAAGTGAATCATGAGTATAAACGCATAGTGGCTTGCACATATTATTATAAGTATGCTAAAAATACTACCATGTACATAAGGCATAAGTGTCCTTCCCGACGCTAAAGTGGAAGTCCACTCATATATGTCACACGTATAATAATTTTTTTTTGTTTTACCCGACAAATGGTTTCTAATTTTGTAAGACCAGTCTCGCAATTTAGGCACTTCTGCCACACTGCACAGCAAGCAACATTACTCTGCTTCTTCCTAGTTCAGCTTTTCTCTTCCTGGATTTTTTCCTTGTTCATTGGACAGAACTGATTAATATGATTTTGGTATTAAAGGAGAATTATGAAGCGAGTGATTTTCACTCAGCCTCATAATCTGAGCCGACCTGTGACAATTAAACTGTCACAGGTCGGCTCAGTAGATCGGGAAATGAGCGAACACACACCGGCGCTCGCTCACTTCTCGATCTATCCGTGCAGAGAGCGGTGACTGTCACTTACGGCTCCCTGCAAGGATTTCCCCCCTTCCCTGTCTGGTCCTCCAGCGCTGACTGGCGGAAGGGACGGGGGAGGGGGCGGGTACAGCTGGCTCTGCCTCTAGATAGGCATATCCAGCTGTCACTCACGCAGCTGGATGGATCCAGACAGAATTGTCGGGATCCGTTCCGGCTGCGGCGTCCCAGTATACTGGAAGCTGTAGCTCGCGGTATACTGAGCTTTGGGTGATGGGAGGACGCTAGTTTCGGTCCTCCCGTTATCCTTAGGAGAACTATGGGGAAAAGCCCTAACCCCATAGTTCTCCTTTAAGCAAAGTAGAGGTGAAGAGGTAACAAAGGAAGCTGTATTGCTAAATTAAGAAATATGTGTGTCACCTGCCCAACCAAACAGTGTCTCATTTGGGCCTGCACATAATTACAAATACTTTAACAGGTCAAATTTAAGTAAACTTTAAGGCAAGTAAATAAAAACTGGAGGAGGGGGAAAAGTAAATACTTATACCATAGATATATAATTTTACCAAGAAAGATTTTTAGGTAAGAATGTTTCATTATGTAGATATAATTTTTTATGATAAGCTGAATTATTTGTGTTATTATATAGTATTTTGACACCATTTTCAACTGAGATTTTCAGTAATTATGAAAAAGGACCCCAGTGTTGTAGCAGATTTGCAGAATTTGGAAAAAAAGACTAAAGTACTATTGTTGTAAGAACCTTGGGGATTAGTTGTTGATGCTATCTGGCACTGAAATGGGTGAAAATGCAACCAGTGACAAATAGATACAGACAGTTTCTTCTGTTGCCTGTCTTCATTAATGCTACGGGAATGAGAATGGCTGATGTGTCCATTCTATTTCTCATGATCAGAAACAATTAAGAGTAGTGGAAATTATGTAGGAGGACAAATTATATTTCTATGTACTGACTGTTTAAGTCTGCCGAATGGAAAACAGGACATTAATTTCTAGCCAGCTTCGTGAGACAACTGGGGTCATTTGCAAGTCATTTGCAAATCCATGTATCTGTCTCAGGCACAGAGTCTCTGTGACAGAGTAAGCACTTTTTAAAACAAGTCAACAATGGCAGTTGCCATATTTCTTTACTGGCAGGTCCTATATAATAAGAATATAATAGTGTATAGACAGATTTCTTGGTTAATTATAAATGTAATGGCAAGAGATGAACAAATCTACCTGGGTTCAGGCAGGTTTGCAAACTTTGCAGCAAACCCCACTGAAGTCTTTGGGGAAGGGGGGGGGGAATATTGTTATGCAGTTCTGGCCATTTTACCGCTAATACGCAAGGTATTATCAAATAAAAGGTATAGGAAGCCAACACTGCTATGGGGAACATGTAGCGATGGCAAAATAACAAGTAATAAAAAAGTATCTCTACATAGAGCTGTCCATTCTCCCTAACAATTCTGACAAACACTGACCATGTGGCTGCTGTGAGCCCCTCTTTGATAGATATGATTATTGTCTCTTGTGACTCTCTCGGGGCAAAAACTATAAATTGCTCCTTATTTGTGGTGACAAACCTATGGAGTTACCAGCTAAATGTATGTGATTCATAAACTTTGAAAATCCAGAGGATTGACCACAAACCCATGGTAGTGGTGAACCCAAACCTTATCCCTAATGGTGACATCTTAACATTCAAATATGCCTTTAACCAGTTGACATCCGCAGTGTTAAACCCCCTTCCCATCCAGGCCATTTTTCAGTATTCAGCGCTGCGGTACTTTGACTGACATCAAATCTCATAAAGCAATATTCATTTTTCAGTGACTATAATTTGAAGCTTGTTGTATAAAGAAATAACAGAAATGGCATAAGACTTTTAGAGTTGTAATAAAGTGAGACTGTAATTTATTAATATACGTAATACTAATAATTAAGTGATTTCAATGTCCCTCCACCCATTCTCCTTAAAAACAAGAATAAGAATAACAGTAATATATTTTAAAAAACTTCTGAAAATACCTTTATTGTGCTTGAATACCTCTCATGTAATATAACTTTTCTTATTGTTATATTTTTTTTAAATTTTAATAGAAATAATAAAGAGTACAAACAGTCCGGGGATAGCACTGGAAACATAATAAATTGCAAAATATCCAGCAATTTACTTCTTGAAAAAAAAAGTTTGTATGCTTCTAAGCTCAAACTGGCAATGTGGCTTGTTATGTATGCCAGTATTTAGAAAGGTTTAATATTTTGAAATAAGCAAATGGAACTCAGTTTTATTTGAGTGATGAAATATGAACCACTAAACAATGCCCTCCAGTTTGGAAAATACATTGAAATAACTAAGACAATAAAAAAGAAACAATACTCTATATTCTGTTTCTCATTACAGTTTGAAGGTTGCAAGAAAGCATTTTCGAGGCTTGAAAACCTGAAGATTCACTTACGGAGTCACACGGGAGAAAAGCCTTATCTGTGCCAGCATCCTGGCTGTCAAAAAGCTTTCAGCAACTCCAGCGATCGTGCCAAGCATCAAAGGACGCACCTGGATACTGTAAGGAAAGACACATTTAATAATATGCTTGTTCTACAAGAAAAGGCCCCACACACTTGCCATCTTGCTGAGCTCTTCTTGAGTGGTCTTTACAAATAACTGTTTCTCCCTTTTCTCCTTATAGCAGAGGCCATGACACTGACAAATGCAAGGACAGTAATTGTCAGCATACCTCAACTTCTCTATGACACATAATTAGTGTAAAATTTCACACATCCAGCAACCAGTTTATTTATACATCCCCCTGCTTAATAAACTGTGGATATTGCTCATTATATATCTTAGTCACCCGTGAACAAAAAATATTGTGGCACATAAGGTAGGCAGTGTAAAGATGTACCATGTGCAGAAACCTAGGCGTTGCTATAGCCATAGCAGTCAGGCTTGGGGACAGAGGGGACCTGGGTGGGGTGTGCAGAGGGTTTGTGAAAAAACGTACCCCCTTGCTCTTTCAATTGCTATGCATTTATTAAGGCTCCCAATAATAAAAACTATTCACTTCTTGTCTTAGAGACACAACAGGAAATTTAGAAAAATCTCTCCAAAGTGATCGGAATTTCCATCTTAGAGAGCGGTCATAGGATAAGGTGTCCCTATTGGAGGATTTTTCCCTTACCCTTTTCTTTGAAGACAACTCAATATAAATGGATTTTCCCTCACTTTTTGCCTCACTGACAAAACGGAGATATTCACCAGTGGGGACACAGACAGCAATAAAAACTTGATTAATTTTTCCATCCTCTATCCAAAACTAAAGTAAATAAATGTGTGGGCTTCAGAACCATTTTCAGGAATGAACAACGCCTGCCAAAGAGATCTAAGGAAGCTCAAAAGCTTACATCTTTATTTTTCATATTAAAGGAAATCAGTTTACAGAGATGTCTAATACCGCAGATGAATATATTCTACATAGTGATCTGCAACTGCACTGCATATGCAGTGGTTAGTGAAACACAAATGCCTCTCGGCCCGGTTGTCAGAACTCCTTTTTCATAATATGTATCCTGTATGCTTGAAGTCTAGAAGAGGTTTCCAAATTAATATCACATTATACATCATATGCTCACTCCTCCAATCTATCGATCGGGGAAGGGGGGGGGGGAACCATTGTTGCCACTCAGGCTGGACTTCAAACATGTCTGCCTTTGTTTATCTTCATTACATGGAGGATGGGAAGATGAGTATTTTACACAAGAAAGATAATGTTGTTTTTGCTTCCAGTTCATCTTATGGGAATCTACTTAATGCACATAATTCATCTTAATTCATCTCAATCTACTTAATGCAAATAAAGCATTGGGACTGGATAACCTGCACCCCAAGATACTTAAGGAACTAAGCGAGGTTATAACAAGACCATTATTCCTCATTTTTAAGGACTCCGTAATGACTGGTGGAGTCCCATGTGACTGGCGGAGGGCTACGGTAGTTCCAATATTCAAAAAGGGGGCAAGATGCCAACCTGGGAATTACAGACCAGTTAGTCTTACATCGGTAGTTTGTAAACTGTTAGAGGGAATGATTAAGGACTACTTGGTAGAATTTGTTCAGGATAATGGCATAGTTAGTGATAATCAGCATGGGTTTAGGAAAGACCGTTCCTGTCAGACTAACCTACTGACTTTTTACGAGCGGGTAAGTAGGGATCTGGATGGAGGGAGGTCTGTTGATGTGGTATATCTGCATTTTGCAACAGCTTTTGATATGGTACCTCATAAATGCTTACTATACAAGCTGAGGTCTATGGGCATAGATGGAAGGGTGTGTACATGAATAGAGAACTGGCTAAAGGAACGGGTACAGAGAGTATCAATAAATGGTGCCCTCTCAGACTGGGCTAGTGTAATGAGCGGTGTACCTCAGGGTTCTGTGCTGGGACCCATGCTATTCAACCTGTTTATAAACGACATCGAGGATGGAGTAAACAGCGATATCTCAGTGTTTGCTGACGATACCAAAATTGGGAGGGTGATAGAAACGGACCAAGATAATATAACTTTGCAGGAGGACCTGGATAAAATAGGGGAGTGGGCAACTATATGGCAGATGAAGTTCAATGTTGATAAATGTAAAGTAATTAGCATTTTGGGGTTAAAAACAGGCAAGCAGAATACACATTAATGGGTACTCCACTAGGGAAGTCAGAAATGAAAAAAGATTTGGGGGTCATAGTAGATAACAGTATTAGTATATATAGTATTTTTAAAACCACAAAAGTAATGTAACTTTGGTTAGACAACCAGGCTGCAATTTGATGGAAAATACATGGCCTTGTGAAAGTTGGGCATGGGGCCTTTCTCAGTAAAATAGAGATAATAATAATAAAAAGAGTAATAAACTGACCATCTTTTATTCTTTATGTAGCTGCATCCCTTTATGTAGCTGGGATCCCAATAAATGTAGTCATATTTTGCTTAATATTCAGCCTGTTCCTAAGAGCCTACTTTTATTGTATAATAAATTAATATTATCTATTAATTTTGTTGTAGGTATACTTTTTAACTTATCCTCAAAGACCATGATGTTTAAACAACATTACATTGTATGTGCAGCAACTGTAAACAATACTAACTAGTGTTTTAGTTCTATATGCTAAATAACTAACTTCCTAAAACCCTGACGTGTGTTGGCCTCAAAGGCTGTAGTTAAAAAAAAAAGCCTGATTCATACTTTACTAGAGATCTTCACATTGCTCTTTTGCCCCTTTTTTAAATTAGTATGCCAATCACTGCCATGCAAATTAATTTCATGCTAAAGTTTTCTGTGAATATTTTTCTTACTGCTGTCTTTGCTGCTTTGACTTTATTATTTCACACTTTTTTCTGTGTCTATACCAGGATTCTGCTCTAATCTTAACCAATGTTTTCTGGATAGTCACTGCTGTTAGACTGCTTCACTAATCTGCTGTACCTGATTTTGCTAATCCTTCCTTGAGCAAATGATTCCTATGCTGTAAGTACCTCTGGGAATGTTCATTGATAACAAATGTGAAAAGGGAGTTGCAAGTGAAGTAATGTGATTACCTTCCCCTATGCCCTTTTCTTGTCTAGAAACCCTATGCCTGTCAGATTCCAGGATGCAATAAGCGCTACACAGACCCAAGTTCATTACGAAAGCACGTAAAAGCTCATTCTTCCAAAGACCAGCAGGCCAGGAAAAAGGTAACAATGATACAGCCTTATGTCATACGAATGCTGTGTAATTATTTGTGCAAAAATGGGCTGTACCCCATTGCAACCAGATTGTGACTGTAATTTTCTAGTACAGTTTATATAACAAGTCCAGCTGTGAAGTCTCCTAAGTGTGAAGCCCAGACATTGTGTACTTTATTGGAACAGTACTCAATAGAAAGGCCTGTGTTTCATAAAAAAGAATGCTATAGTAGGTTTTCTGTATTTAATGTTCCATAGAGAGTACACAGCCAAGAGCAGCCATACATGACCCAAATTGTCATAGAAGTTAAACAAATCCAGGCATTCATGGTTTTGGAAAATATAGTGGTTAAGAGATGAGGGACTCTAGGGGCTGATTGTTACTTTCCTATTATTGGTGCAATTAAAAGCAACATAACATAAGTTCTTGTAATGGCACAACATTGTAAAAAAATGCAACCCATTTTGTGAGTTATGTACATTTTGTAGAATCATTATGTCATGTCAAGAAACATCTGAAATGTCTGTTATTGTGTTGATGAATCCTCCTCATGTCATAGCTACAATAAATAAGTGTTAAAAACCTCATAAAACAACGCATGTTTTTAGTGCTTTGCTAAATTTAAACGGTATGGTTGCCCAGCCAGTTAAAAAAAGGGTGTAGAGACATGATCACACAATTTTCAAAGATGTCAATTATGTCTTTTATTCTAAGGAAATTGGGACAGGCTGGAAGCATCTCCCTGCCTGTAGGTCAAAATGTATTTCGAGCCAAAACTTTTTTTGTGTTATGTAAAGAAGGAAATAATTAAACCCTTGATATTGTCTCAATAGGGAAGTGTCCCCTTACTTCCTGTCCCAGAGACACAAGAGAAAGTGAGAGTAAATTCCCTGTTAGACAATTGTCTAGGAAGATTTCCCATGACATTCTGTTCTTGTGACAACTGTAAAATATTGTATTTACCATCACTATACCACTACAAATAGAGAGAAACCCAAAATAGCAAACAAAAATAGAAAATACATTCACGAAGCTCATATTACTATTATCCCACAATGCTTTGAGTTCTGTAAATGGAGCAGAAGCAGGTGAATTACAGAATATCCACCGCCCATTCACAAAACTTGATGCATCGTGGCATGATAGTTATACAAGATCTGTGAATGGCAGAAAGAGACTGAGAAGGCAACACTGAATATTGTTTTTAATACTGCTGAGAGCATTTCTTCAGCTAAGCAGCATGCACTCAAATGTGAGTTTTGTATGTACTGCATAATGCAAGTAGACTTGCTAGACTTTTTAAGTAGAGTTATTCTGATTAGTAAACAAAACAGCAGTTTGCCAGGCTCAGTCTAGATCAAAAATAATGTTGTCCAGATAATGAAAACTGGAGAAAGAATTGACCACTGCCATAGCAACTAGTTAGAATTCTTGTTTATTTTTTCTTCCATAACATGAACAGTGGAACCTGTTTCGTTGCTGATGGCAACAACTTTAATTTTGTGCTGATTTCTTAAAATAAATCAGCTTGATAGTCTTATGGGTATATCAATAAAGAAAAGAATGTTTAATTCTCCAAACATTCACTGCAGATGTGTCTTCCTGACAACAAATGTATTTTGGCTACCGAATGCCACATTCACTGCTTTATTATCATTGGCGACAGGTAAGTCGCCAGGATCACTTCTGTTGTAAAGCCGACAGTCGGCTCTACAAGTTTAAACAGAGTCCCGGCGGCAAAAGTCGCCGGGAGTCTGTTTAAACAGCCCCGATGCTGGCGACGTACACTGTACGTCGTCAGTCACGAAGGGGTTAAAGTTCAAATATTTTAGACACTACAAGGGTTATTCACAAAGCTGCCGAGGGCAGCCGTGTGAATAACCGTCCCGAAGTGAAGTGAGACAAACGCTGTTTGGCTATTCACTTCAGGCTTGTACAGCTGATTTCAGCCGTACATTGACTTGCGTCGGCTGAGTTCGGGTCGGCCGAAAATGCTCAGCATGTTCGGCCGACTCGAAGTGCAGAAGGAGTTCGACTCAGCCGATCCAACATCTGGATCGGCTGAGCTGAACCTCCGGCAGGCTACTCGCTGCTGTTCAGCCTATTCTCATAGGGGCCGAACAGCAGTGAGTGAATAGTCAAATTCCGCCGAGTGGCATTCGACTCGGCTATTCTGCTAGGTACCTCCGTGGTACCTAGCAGAATAGAAAAACTGTAAAAAAAAGTAGAAAAAGATTGGGTGGAGCTAGGAGTGACAGTTAGCTCTTTCCCTATTGGCTGGGACCTGCTGTCATTACAATGAGAGCTCAGCGGAGCCGGCGGTGATAACACTGCCAGCTGCGCTGAGCTCTCATTGTAATGACAGTCAAGCGTCCCCTGGTTACCTAGGCTAGCTTCGGCCGTAGCTATGGCCGATCCTTCGGCTAGCTTTGTGAATATCCCCCTAAATGAGCAGAACTCTATGGAGCTGACTTGTAGAAATAGATGATATATTGCTTCATGCCCTTTCACTGTGACCTTATGGGTTGCTGTGGTATTACTACCTCCAGTACTTTGCAATATAATATAGATTCATCTTTTGCATTGTTGTGTGACTACCCAAGCAATATTTGACATGCTTAGTTCACTAAAGAGATTTAGATTTTTTTCTTTGTGATTTTAATACCTGATTCATGAAACATTTTCATTAGTGAAAGCATAGAAAGCTTTAGCTTTTCACTTGCCAAAGGAATGTGGGCTTTCCTCCCTAACCATGTCAGGTATTATGCCTAATTTACTGTAGTATTACAAGAAGTAATATCAGCAGGGATTCTGAGGTACCACCTACCCAAAATTCCCTGAGCCCTTAAATCTGTTCCAAACCAGGAAACTGTGGTTGGATAGTGAAAATTGGAAATACAGAGTTCTCCAATATATTAGGAAAAATAACAAGTAAAGGCAAAATACATTTAATAGCTTTAATAGAAGTAACTGTGAGCACTTAAGCATATCGCTTTTCCACATAGTCCCCATGCAAGATGATGCACTAGTTGTATCGTTCAACTAGCTTCTGTTATCCTGCAGAGAAGAAGCTTTTCGGCTGCTGAAGCCAGGTGTCCACCGCTTCCTTTACTTCATCATCTGAGGTGAACCTGCGACTGCAGAGCACCTCCTTCAGCGAACCGAGCATGTGATAATCGCTCAGCGCCAGTGATAATTCTCTCCAGAATCTCACTCAGATCTTCTTCATATCGTCTCAAGAACTGGGTTGTAACCACACACTGTTGCTTGTGCAGAGCAGTAAGCTGTTTGGGAACTCACTCATAAACCTTTTGTTGATTCATGGTGCTATGATCATAATGAGCCAACATCAGAAGGTAAATTTCCACTGGTTTCACTCCTTTTGCCAAAAGCATGCGCACTGTGGCATGTTGTTCTTTAATGGTGCAATCTCACAACAGAGTGTCCATGTTTCTGTCCACATGACTACCACTCAACTAAAGTCAAAATGCTGTACTGCGCATGGTCAAACTATCCAATATGCTGCATTACACAAGCTTCTCTCTGTTCCAGTTACTGCATCATTTATAAATTGCCTTTACTTTTTGATTCTCCCTCATATATGCTCTGGCAGCCCCCAACAAAATTAATATTGATTACCCATTGAAAAAGCAATAAAGATAATTCAAATGAAAATAATGGCAAATAGAAGAACGGAAAAACCTTCTGCCACCTATTCCAAAGACAAGCATATGTAGAGTTATTTTATGGAATGGGTTTTGGTTAGAGAGCATGAATTAACGTTCTCTCTCTCACTTACATGCAGTTTCTGAAACTATCTGTAGAAAATTTGCCACAATTCCATCACAGACTTTGGCTGTCTTACTTCTGTCACTGCAAGCAATCCCAAACTGGCTTGATGATGTTTAAATCAAGATCATACCATCTGCTGCAAGATTCTTTCTTTTTCCTGTAGATAATGTTTTAGGAATTTGACATTGAAATTTGGGGTTTTGTCATGCTGCAGAATGAAGGTGGGGCTGATCAGATGCCTAACTAATAGTATTACATGATGTCTAAGAATCTGTCTATACTTCTCTGCTGTCAACTCGGTTTGTCGAAATGCAACCTCAAGCTTGCAGGGGCGCGCCATTATGCTTCACTGTTACCTGCAGACATTTGTCAGTGTACCATTCTTTAGTCCTTCGGAAGACAAACTGACTTTTTTTGTGCCAAATGTTTCAGATTTTGGCTTCCTGTATCCAAGTCCTTGCGTTTTCATACATCACTTATCTTTGTTTCCACTGTGAAGGGAAATAAGCTTGATGTATTGCTTGGCTTCTTCGCCCATTTTCTGTTGCCAATAATTGTATTGCAAAGTCCTCAACTTTGCCAGTGTGTTTGTGTTTCTGTAGAAGAGTTTGGTCAGATCTGAAAACACCTGTCTGCCAAACAATTTCTGCTACAGAGAGACCTTCATAATATAAGGTGACCATTTTGCGTCTTGTTATTATGTTCATTGTTGCAATGTTGAAGGTTAACCTACCACATGCTCACCTTTTTAGAATTAGTGTACCTTGCCCAGTATTATTTTCTGTTCTTAGCTGTTTCTTTTTTAATTAATATGGATGGATCAGCCTACCCATTATGTAATTCGTGTAATTCATGGTCTATATGCCTAAAAAGAACTCCTGATTTATGATTGGAAAGTGGTGTAATACTAAGTAGGCTCAGTTTTTAAGGAAATTAATGTTTGCATTTTCTTAACATTGACACACTAATGCAGAATATATATATATACTGAATATATATTTAATTTTTCAGGACAATTTTTAGAAACAGCTGAGAGGCACAGCCATCTGTGGTTTATGATGACAAGCTTATTTTTGTTGTATTTGAAATGTTAAAAATATAGTTTGGTACCTAATAGCAATGTTGATTCATTTAATCTCATTTAACTGACTTATACCTTGATGTTAGCTGACATCAAGCAATGGAATTTTAAATATTTGCAGGCAATAACAATAAT